GCTAGCAAAGGAAAAAGAAAAGAGTGAAGGGATGCTCCAAACAATGCTTAATTTTCTTCAATCCCAACCCTCTAGTTCCTCCAAGCCCTAGAACCAGTTTAGAAACTCCTTCAGTGACCCAGATTCGGGACTTTTTCTGTTTTTTGTTTCTCATGGTTGGATGTTTGTTTTTCTTTTTGTGGTCTGTTTTGTAGAAACATCTCCTAATCAATGACAATGTGCTTTGTTTTCTCTTGTTCTATGAAACTTCTGATCTTAATAGTTAAATTTCTGTGAAGCTGATTATTGATTAACTAAATCATTTTTCACTTGCAGTTGCCCCAGTGGCCATGAGTAATAATTAACATCTGGGATTCTAATAAAATGCAACTTTTCGATGATGCCAAAAGGGGGAAGAGATATTGTGCTTTACTTTGTATTCTGAAAAATGTGATGTTTATAACCTGATTAAACCTGGTCCTTAATGATAAGTTAAATTACAATGTGAAAATTAAGCTGAGTTCCACAGGGTCTCTGATCAATAAAAGCACAGAGTTTGTCATCATCAAAAAGGGGGAATTTGTTGGCCCAAGTTCAGATGAAGTTTTGAAGATTGACAAAATGAATTCAGTCATGAACCAGGTCCATCATGTGAGACACAGTGTTGATATGCTTACACATGTGACATACGCGTGAAGAAGATAAGTCTCAAGGATCAGCAACAATATCTTCTGAAATTGATCGAAAAGATTGCATATAGGATAAGGAGTTGAAGTCTCCTTATGAAAAGAGAATTATATCCGGATCAAGGATATGGATTAGGAGTTAAGAGTTGTTCTTGGACTCAAATTGTTCTCTTTTACAGGTGGTTGCACAAAATGCAGAAGTTAAACGTGAATTGGGAGCAAAATAGCAAGGCTTTTTGCAAGCAGTTCGTGTGTCATTCAAGTGTGCAAACCCGAACCTACATGAACCAGATTGAAGAACAAGTTCCATAAAGAGTTTTATGTGTCTTTCTTTATTTCTAGTTCAATTGTAGTAGGTTTTCATATTGTACCTTTCAGCTTTCATAGAAGCAATTGTAATAGGTATATTGAGTATTCAAGTTAGAGTTAACTTGAAAGTGTCGCAACAGTTGAGGCTGTGTGCTACACTGGGATTAGAGTTAATCCTTAGGTTTACAAAGAGTTTTGTAAATGCAGTTTTTGGCTCAGTAATTTTAGTGGAGTTTGGGAAAATCCTACTGAGTAGTAGGTCGTGGTTTTTTCACCTTTTGAGCCAGGTGTTTTTCACGTAAAAATCTCTGTGCACTTTACTTTCAGCATTTATTATTCCGCAAACTGCTGTAGTTAGAACACTTAGAAGAACCAGGTTCTTCTAACGCGAAAATTAGGTACCACACAAATCACCCCCCCCCCCTCTTGTGTGGTATTGACGTTTATAACATCACTACTCCTCTTGATCCTCAACACAAACTCTACATTGATTCTGGTGATCCACTTTCTGATCCTTCTGTTTATAGGAGGTTAATTGGGAAGTTGAATTTTTTGTAACATACTAGGCCGGACATTTCTTTCTCTGTTCAACACTTGAGCCAATTTTTGGTCTCTCCTAAGGTTCCTCATATGTTGGCTGCTCTACATATTCTACGCTACCTTGGTTATGATCCTGCCCAGGGTATTTTACTAAGCAGCACTCCTGATTTCAGCCTCAAGGCTTACTTAGATTTTGACTGGCTGCCTGCCCTATCTCCAGAAGGTCTGTTACTGGATATTATATTCTTCTTGGTGACTCTCCTGTTTCTTGGAAATCCAAGAAACAACCTCTTGTTTCATTAAGTTCTGTTGAAGTAGAATACAGGGCTTTGAGACTGGTAGTTGCTGAAGTTTCCTGGCTTCTCAAGCTTCTTGCTGATATGGGGTTGTCTGTCACTTTTCCTGTGCCTATATTTTGTGATAGTCAGGCTGCTGTCCATCTTGCCAGAAATCCAGTTTTCCATGAGCGCACCAAACACATTGAGGTGGATTGTCGTTATGTTAGAGATGTCCTCTCTTCCGGGCTAATTTCTCTTCAGCATGTTCCTACCTCTGCTCAACTAGCTGATATACTTACTAAAGCCCTCACTGGTGTTCCTCATCACAAACTTTTATGCAAGCTTGGTGTTCAATCACCCTCAAGCTTGAGGGGGGTGATAAAGCCTCAGTCCACAATCCAGATCCTGGTTGATTTCAACAATAGTAGGCCTCTCCTTATTGGGCCAGTTTTATTTTTACACATTCAGGGAACCGGCCCTTGTCTGGATTGGTTTTACCATTTCAATTTTAGCCACATTTACATGTACATATAAATAGAGTTAGTTTGACTCTATTTTTAATTAATGGATCAAAACTCTTATTTACACTGTCGTCTATCATCTCTTTCTCTCACCGACTCAGACGATTAGGGTTTAGACTTGATCCGTTCTCAAATTACCATTGATTTCGTAGCTTAACAATTAGTCATAGAAATAAATATGATACGTATCTTTAGCCAAATCATAGTAGACTTTAAATATTAATGGGTCATTAATTACAAATAATTTAAAATAATTATTAAGCTAAGAAATGAAAATAAGGGAGACAAACATCATATTGTAAATTGCATGGAAGAATATTAGTGTTACAAGCCAAACTTGGACAGAGATCTGTGAAATTATACTTAAATAACATGCAAGTAGTTTTTTATAAGAGATTAATTCTAAAACGTCCAAAATATAAGAAAATTAATTGTGCCTCTCATGTAAGAAATTTATAGCTTATGCAAATAGGCGAATCCAGGATTTAAACTCTATGGGTTCAACCTTTAGAGTTTTGGCTTTGAATCTATTATATTTTTAAAATTAGGGGTTCATATCTACTATTCGTTGCAATTTTAATGAATTTTTGCACATAAATTTATATTCCATGTCGAAAGCAGCCGGTTCAGATGGACCCGGTACCAAAGGGATGGATCTGCCCTTACTTGTGCACGTACGACATTGTCAGCACTCATACTTGAAATTGGGATCGCTTTGGTTTTAGGATTCTCTAATTGTAGACAACTCTATCAACTTGATTTCAAAGGTCAGACTTGCACAAGATTCTAGTATTCAGTATTTAATTGGTAGACGACATTCAAACTTGAATTGGAAAAGCTATTGACTGGTATTAGGATTCTTTCGCACGCATAAAGTCAACAAATCGTGTGATTTAAGTTCAATTAGAATTCTATCTCACTTTAGCTTTACTCTATTTCATATGTCTTAGTTTACTATTCTTTTAGTCTAATTTTGTGTACTTGGTTACTTACTAAGAGAAAACTGAAAAATAAGTAACTCTTGCTTTGTAAGCGAGAGCCAAGTTTTCTTACCTTTCTTTCTTATTATCATATTTGCAGTTCAATAAATATGATTTGAGTTCAAATTCAAATACATGTACTCTTACCAGTGGCGGATCCACCCCTTTAAAAAGCGGTGGCATGGCACCCACTAAGAAAATTTTATATATCTATATTAAAATTTTCTTAAATTAGGTTAATATCTCATCCTGTCACCCGCACCCATAAACTAGACAAATATGTCATGGCTGGTAGATCTTTTTGAAAGCTTTTCTTGTGTGTAAAATTTAAGTTGGAATTTATCTTGAACCTTGTCCGACTTTTCCATCTCTTTGTGCTTTTTATTTCTGTAATGACCCAACCGGTCGTTTTGAGCTCTAGCGCGTCGTTCGGCAGTTTGAGGCCATGAGCAACTTCACTTCAGGTATTATGACTCGTACGCGTGGTCGGAATTGAATTCCGGAAAGTTCAGAGTTGGTTTGGAAAGAAAATTCTCATATCGGAAGCTTTAAGTTGGAGGAATTGATAAGGATTGGATTTTTGAGTGAACGACCTCAGAATCGAGATTTGAAGGTTCCACCAGGTTCGTATGATGATTTTGGACTTGGGCGTATGCCCGGATCGGGTTTTGGGTGACCCGGGAGCGTTTTGGCGTTATAGTGGAAGTTAGCATTTTGGAAGAATTTCATAAATTTGGGAGGAAGTGCATTTCAATGTTATCGATGCCCGTTTGGGTTTACGAGTCTGGGAATAGCTCCGTATGGTGATTCTGGTATTGGGAGCGCGATAGGAAGTGGATTTGGAGGTCCGTAGATCATAGTGGAGTCATTTGGCGAAAGTTAGAAATTTGAAGGTTTTTGAGAAGTTTGACCGGAAGTGGACTTTTTGATATCGGGGTCGGATTCCGATTCCGGAAGTTGGAGTAACTCCGTAATGTCGAATATGACTTGTATGCAAAATTTAAGGTTAATCGGACGTGAATTGATAGGTTTCGGCATCGAATGTAGAAGTTTGAAGTTCTAAAGTGTTGGGTTTTGGATGTATTTAATTAATATATATTAAATACTTAAAAGAGGGTGAACTTCCAATATGGGACAATGCCCATTTGCCAAGGGGGGAACTTAAAATTTCACTCAAAAATTTCATTTTCCTCCATTTCCCATTCACCCTCTTTTAAGTATTTAATATATATTAATTAAATACTATATACCCATAAAAAACCTCTTCCTCTTCCAATATGGGACAATGCCCATTTGCCAAGGGGGGGAACTTAAAATTTCACTCAAAAATTTTATTTCCCTCCATTTCCCATTCACCCTCTTCCTTGATGAACTTCTGGAGACTTAGATAAAGTTCAAAAAGCTCGATTTGGGGTGTGATTCCTGATTTCGGCGTTGTTTGATGTGATTTGAGGCCTCGAGCAGGTCCGCATTATGTTTTGGGACTGGTTGATATGATTGGACGGGGTCCCGGGGGCCCCGGGTGAAATCCGGGTGGTCAACGGATCAAAATGGAAGATAAGGAATGGCTGAAGTGCACCAGTTCTGGTGTAATCGCACCTGCGCAAGTTTGACCGCAGGTGCGTGATCGCAGAAGCGGGAGAATGGTCGCAGGTGCAGTTTGGGCGAAGATAGGCAGTGATCGCAGGTGCGGAATTTTACCCGCAGATGCGGGTGCGCATCTGTGCTGGGGAGACCGCAGAGGCGGATTTTGGACTTAAGCCTGGGACCAAAGAAGCGGCACGTGCGCCGCAGAAGCGGGGCCGCAGGAGCGGTCTATGCACCGCAGGTGCGAAAGTGTTGGAGACAGTAAGGTTTATTTAAAACGGGGGTTTAGCCCATTCTCTTCCATTTTACTCTTGTTTGGACAATTTTTGGAGAGCTTCAAGTGGGGATTTTCATCATCAACGATAAGGTAAGCTATCCCCACATGTCTTGAGTTAAATACATTGATTATGTATAGATTTTAGCATGGAAATTGGTAGAAATTTGGGAGTTTGAGGAAAATCTAGAAAATTGGTATTCTTGAATTTTGACCACGATTTTGGACATAAATTGAGAGTAAATTATATATTTGAGTTAGTGAGGTTATGGGCAGACTTTATCTTCGAAAAATTTCGCAATCCGGGCACGTGGGCCCGAGGGAATTTTTGTCAACTTTTCGACCGAGGTTAGAAATTATTATAAATTGGATTATTATGAGTAATTGAACGTGTATTAATGGTTTTACATAATAATTGGCTAGTTTTGGAACGTTGTGCATTAATTTGAGTCTTCGGAAGGGCGTGGAATGCCGGTTATGGAACTTCGGAGCGAGGTGAGTCTCCTTTCTAACCTTGTAAGAGGGAATTGTCCCCATAGGTGAGTTAACTAGTTATGTGCTCCTATTTGTGGGGGCTACGTACGCACGAGATGGTGAGAGTCCGTGCGTAGCTGCTATTATGCTTAAGTCCGGGTAGTCTAGGGCCCAAAAGCATGCTTTACTTGTAATATTTGCAACCTTGTTGACAATTTAAAAATGCTTAAAAGATATCGAACGTGTAAATGAATTTCTAAAAGGCTAGATATTATTTCTTGACTTTTAAAAGAGAAACTTGCCTTTTCCTGAATAATTGTTCCTTGATGCATTCTTGATTTGACTGTTTGAATGTGTTAATCTATTGTGGAACGGGCCGAACGCCTCGATAGATTGAATAGATGCATCTATGGTTCGCGTCATTCGACCACCTGGCAGTGCACAGTTTAAATATTGTTGGATCAAGCTGTACGACCTCGGAATGATTTGCGCATGCTTGTATTGCTTGCCTTGTAATTCATAAGTGTTGATATTTATTTTTCCTAACCTGAGATTAATGTATAAATGATGAAATGAATTTGGGAATATCCTATAAAAGAAAGAATTGTTTATTTGGCTCATGCTATTGAGTTACAGCCATTTTTATGAAAAGTCCTCGATTTACTATATTTTTGGTATATTATTATTGGACCACTAGTAAGTGTCGAAGTCGACCTCTCGTCTCTACTTCTTCGAGATTAGACGGGATACGTACTGAGTACACGTTGTTTTTGTACTCATGCTATACTTACTGTGCATTTTTATTGCACAGGTACATGTACCTCTAGCGGCCTAATTGGCATCGCAGCACGGATGATCCGGAGACTTAGGTGAGCTGCATCTCTCGAGGCGACCCGCAGCCGGCATAGTCTCTTTTAGTGTATAGTATTTACCTTCTGTCTAATTTGTATTTCGGACAGTTATTGCATTTCATTCAATTTCCTAGGAATAGCACATGTACTTGTGACACCGGGTTTTGGGATGATTATGGGATGGTTAATATTAAAAGTTGTAAACATTTTTATTTATTCGGTGATGATTACCTTTTACTAGTTAAATTAAAGGAAATTATGGCTCCTAAATTACTAAAAATGGGAAGTTAATTAACTTCTTGGTGTTGGCTTGCCTGACAATGGTGTCCGGCGCCATCACGACCCTTAGTGGATTCTGGATCGTGACAATTTCCTTTGTCCCAGTAATTTTCCTTTACGGCTACCCCCCAATTTTCTATTTGTCGTTCTATTATTTTTTATATTTTTCCTTTTTCTATTCTATTAGTTTATATGTGATCTCTAGCCAGAACACTCAAAAAAAAAAAAAAACTCCAAAACTTTAAAATTACATAAAAGAACCATTCCTTTTAATCTTAAATTTATAAGTTTTCTTCATTCAAATCCGAAAAACTTGGATCTTAATGGGAATTTTGGATTGAGATAAAAAAAATCATCTTTTTTTATTATATCTTAAAAATTGTGTTATTTTAGGGTTATTAAATAAATTTAACTCTTTACTGTTAAATTATGATGAAAATTTCGTAAATATTGCTTAAAAAATATGAGATTTATGAAATTAATTTTTTGGAACTTTTAGTAAATTTAATTTTATACTTATGGAGTATAATTTATCTATTGAAGATATTTTTATATTTTCTTATTCTGATTGATATAATTCCTTTATTGAAGATGTTATCTTGCTTGTGCAAATTTATTTTTAATATACAGAAAAAGATATAATTTTCTAGTCAAAATTTTGATTTTACTTGTGTTGTTATAATAAAGGTGTGATTCCTTATTTAAAATTCTAATTACGTTTGTTTTTTTATATCCGAGATGTGATTTTTATATTTATAAATAAAAAATACCTATTAGGTTGACCCGAATAAACTCAAAAACAACCGAATAGACATTTCTAACAAATTTCATATTAGTCATTACAAGGTATACATTAATGGATATTATGGCACCTGCCACCTTTAAATCCTAAATCCGCCTCTGACTCCTACTACTGCATTTGTATTCATACTATAAATTATCAAGGTTACCTTGTTAAATTAAGAAAGTTTACCATGAAACTGCAACAACAACGATTATGCATGTGATTTAGATACAACATATAAATAACAGGTGCTATTTACGGAATCATACAAAGCAGATAAAAATCATCTATTGTGGAAAAAAGAAAAATCAAAAATTTATCTACCTATCTCAACAACAATTTAAAACAAGAATACAGTTAATCTAACAAACCCTAATTCTCATCATAAAAGTTCTCTAAATATCAAAATATTCAACATAAAATACATAGAAAAAATTTCCAAAATGAGCAAGAACTCAACTGTTGTATTCCAAAGCAATATAACCTCTTGCTGCCTGCAATCACAAGTAAAATATGTTGAGCAATTATGACAATTCTCAAAATTAAATAAACAAAATATGCAAGATGAATAATTCCTTAATAGCTCGTTTATGCTTCATCAGATAATAAACATTAGACAATTAGTGTTCCTCATATAGAGGACGCAGAGTTGTAAGTCGTAACCAAATTAGAATCCATTATGAATAAGGTATGCATCTCCTATGTAATGGCAGTGATTTTCTAAAATCTGGGCTGATTTTAGTGTTCTATTATAAGCAAAATTTTAAATTTTATAATTTTACCCACTATGGAATTGTCTTTTCTAAAAATAAAATAAAAATTAAACTTTAAAGACTAGTGTAAAACATTTGTGCTTTTATAATATATAGATAATTTATTGAAGCAATTTAAATTTTGTGTTTTACTCATTTTACCCTTAATGAGAAGCTTTATAGCCACAAAAATGTTCTAAAATCATGAGAAGCTTTTATAATAATATACATACATGAAGTATTTGTATGATTTTTAATAAAATCATGAATTGATATAAATATTTTAAAAGTTTATATCATGGATGGCATTTTGATTGTTTTTTTCTTTAGAATGACAAAGAGCATGAAGATATAATTGTTACTCCCTCCGTTTCAAATAATTTTAGGTAGTTTGACTCGGCATGAAGTTTAAGGAAAAAAAGAAAGACTTTTGAAATTTGTGGTCTTAAAAGCTTAACGGGTAAAGCTTTGTGGGGCCATGACTTTTTTGTGGTTATAAAAGCTTCTCATAAAGGGTAAAATGGGTAAAATGAGGAGTTTAAAGTTGAATTATTTCCAAATTTAGAAATGTGTCATTTATTTTGGAACAGACTAAAAAGGAAAGTGCCTCATTTAATATGAAACGGATGGAGTATTATTTTGTCTCAAATGTTAGTGTGAAGTGTAAGCCGCTTCAAGGAGAATTCCATAAGGTCAGTTCTCTACGCACTTATGTCCGGCTCGGCTTCGGCTTCGGCTTCGGCGGTCAATTGATCGATAATTTTTTTGGTCGGTCAATTGATTGATAATTGTTTGGACCAAATTTATTTCCCGTTTTTCGTTATTTATTTTCTTTTTCCAGATAATTTTTCACGCGGATTTTATTTCGCGGTTAATTTCCAAATGGTTATAACGGTCGTTTTCAAATTTAAAATTTGCGACCAAGCAGAAATATTTTATGCCGAAATGGTACCTCATGCGAACAGGTACCTTTCACCTATTCAACACAGACTATTTGGCTATAAATACAGAGGCTTTACCTCACTTTTTCACCACCAAAAATCTACATACTCTCCCCCTCTCTTCTGCATTTCTACATTTTTAAAAGCAAAACGTAAGCATCAGTATGGTTTACTCTCGTTTGTTGAGTTCAACGAAGTTCTGTAATTTTCATTGTCGGTATTACATAATAGGTGCTCCCTTCTATCCCGGGAGGAATTAATCCAACAACCTTGGATAACATCGAGGGGGTTAAATTCCTTAAGGAAACACAGTTTTCTGTTAGGCTCAGTATTTTCATTCTTCTGATTCTATTTCTGTTTTGATTCTGCACTAGTATTTATTTTGCAGAAATTATTTTTCAAACACATTTTTTTAACAAATGCCATGCCTAATAGCGTAAAGTTGAATGATAATCCAATTCTTAATGATTTTTTACATACACCAAAAAATCAAGAACCGATCCAACTACCACCGCACAAAGCAAATGTTGAAGTCAAAATTCCTATAGATGGACACCCCCCGATGGTGCTTTATTTGATGGAATTTTGTGGGGCATGCAGGTCCGGGAAGACTTGTGTGTGAAGCCGATTGCCAATTCCGACACTTTATCCGGTGGAAGAGTTACTCGTACACATAGGGGCAGAAAAACAGTGATTACGTGCCTTAAAAGGGACGAAGTGATTGAAGAAAAAAGGTAGCTTCTGAATAATCGTGCTTACGAGGCAAACGTTCTAAAAGAAAATCACATGGGAGGTTGTGCGAGGCTGATAAGGAAAATCACATGGGAGGTTGTGCGAGGCTGATAGAGCAAACAACTATGATTTTCTAACAGTGGGCTCACCTTACAGGGCAGCAAAGTACACTTA